GAACAAATGTAGTTTCATGTTACAATTTGAAATCATTCTAAAAATAAAAAAATGGTAATTTAAATTTATTTCAACTTTTCTTGGTGGTTACAAGGTCGGTCAAATTGACTCAACCTTATAATAGTTATATAGAGTTAGGGGTAGAGACAATAACAGATAAAATATAAAGTTTTACTGAAAATAAACATTTCAAATGTATTTAGGGAGTTTAGAGATTACGAAAATGATATTTGAGATTTTTGAGATGAAGAAAGTATTTTTAATCTTAACATGAAAATCACTTTGCACATGAACTATACAAAACAGTGTTGAGGTACTCGATATATTCACGAACAAATCGTTTTTAGTTTATTCAAAATACTTCCCTAAAAATATTATTTTTGTATGTGAAAACTTATAATGTTTACTGAAAGACTGCCAAATTTCGCGAAGATATACGCACTATATTAAAAGTTAATACTATCAAATCTATAAAGACTTTAAACGAGTACAAAGAGGTCACGTGATTGGTCAAATTCACTGAACCCCGTATTAAGAGAGAAAAGAGACGTGTATGTACTTGGAGAGAATCAGAGCCAACGTCAATTCCATGGAAGAAAGATAGGCATATGATGTGGTGGCATAAGAGTCTGGGCAAGGATTAGAATTGGAGGTGCAACTTACTGTTATGTGCTACGACATAGTACTATATATATATATGTATGCTATTATGGATGCAGTCTTACAGCCGATAAGTGTTGTTATATGCAGGTCCAATTGTTCCAAACTATTTTTTAATGGATGATAAGCATGCCTCCAACATGTTCAACTGATGAGCAGTTTTTTTGGAAGAACAGGGTATCAAGTGAATGAACAGGCCAGCACGCTCACCAAATTTAAATCTGATTGAACGTATCTGTGATGCTCTGGGCAGACTTGGCAGCAGTGTTGATAAATTGGAAGAAGCTTTTGAAGGAGTGGGCCCTATCACACCAGCAGTTCATTGATTCATTCATTTGAATCATGCCATATTGATGTACTACTTGCGTTAGTGCCGGAGGTGGTTATATACCGAGGTTAAATACATTATATCAAAACATTTTTGGGGCCTCACCACATCTTTACGGTATATATTGCCATGTCTTGTTTATGCTCTACATAACAACTACGGATCTTGACAATAGCCTTGAAGCGTATGTAGTTTCGATTGCAAAATATTCCATCGTAAGGCTGTCATGTCAAAATCATATCATTCTTCTCTGAGTTCAGTAAGCCATCTAGTGTTCGAGGACGACGGTTTCCCAATGTTCATTTCAATAGTCTGATTGCAGAAATATGTTGGTGCTGTGCTTTGTGACGTGACTGGTACATCTTCATATGGAATATAATGAATATCTGTGTCATTCTCCAGCTGCTTGAGGTATGTGACAGTTAACTGGATATATCCTGGAAGTAACTTATGTACACGTGACTTATGACGCTTTTCCACAGAGAGACCATTCTTTAATATGTTGCTTACTGTTGCCTGAGACACGTAGGACGGCCTTTGTTACTGGCTTTTATGTTCGTGGATTCTCACCTGTTGAGAAATGCCGCACTTGAGGTCAGTTGAGGAAAGGTTTTGTATGTCTCTTTTTGAATGGTCCTGGTTCCACAAGTTGATCCATATTCCTTTGTTTTCGATTAGTTACAACGGATACCCCAATCTTAGAAATTCTTAATTCCTTATCTGAACACGTCTTTATGATATGAGTGTATTAATATTATGCATCAGGAAAAGTTGTTTCTAACCTTTTTCAAAATCAATAAATTTCGATGGCGTCATACTACCGATATAACGCCAAACAATGTCAAAATGTACTTCTGATAACACGTTCCACCACACCTTTACATCGGCTATGGTCGTCTCATGATTTGTTGATTTACATATTCAAAAGCGTTTTAATATACCGTACTCAAACCTTTACAGACTTTTCAGACCAATAAATGATCAGAAAACGTTTGTTATCGTGGTATATATCGTGTGTGTGTTTATCAGCGTCGTACCATAATAACAAACGTTTTCTTCACATTTAATAGACTGTAAAGTCTGTAGTACCATACGGGTATTTGCTTTGCGAACACGGGTTCCAACGGTATATATTTGCATATCAGATCATGTAACTGGTCACCATATTTAATTTTTTGCATAAAAATATACTCAGGTATACCATTGACATAATTTAATAATAGCAGTTGTGCCTTTTTGTATCTCGAATAAAGAAAAAGTAATTATAGCTTAATCTTTTTTCAAGTAGTTTATATATGTAACCTCCCAAAGGTTTCATGAAAACATTAAAGTAATAATTTTACAGACAAATTACAAATATAGTTTTCAATGTCGTCAACATAACACCAAAATACAATTATAACATGCTAAATATATATATATATATATATATAAGACTATGAATTTTTCAAAAAAGTTTACTTCCCCCCAAAAATGATTAGCCGTTTATAAATGTTAATGTTAATTTTTCATTTTTCTAAGTGTCTCTGTAGATTCAGGCAGTTGGTACTTGTACATTAGACAGCTTGTATTACAACAGTCACTGTAGTGTACAGAGTGGTGGATAGACAACATGACACCAGGATGCTGACATTCATCGCATAAGAAGCTGATCTAATGAAGCCGTAAAATAGAGGACAAATTAATGTTGCGTGATTTTACTATTATCCGTAAAAACTTTGAGTTAATATACGGGATTAGAAAAGCATTTTTCGAACAAATGTGTTTAAATATACAATTTTTCTGAAATATGTATAAACAACAACAACAAAAAGTACTTAAATTTTGTTCTGTGCAAGGAGTATAAATATATCTAAATACATTTTTATTTACCTGCACGTGTTATAAGAAATACAGTTTAATAAATTACCATCTAACTAACTGTATTGTATACGAAAAACAAAACAAACTAATATTTTTGCAAGACCAAACGAAACACGTAAAATACGTGGAAATTATAAAATCAATGACTTATTCTAACTACTTTCAATTGAGATACACAAATATTTGTATACGTTAAAATATTAGTATGTTATATTATTTATTAGTAAAACGTTCTTTTTACACATTAAACAGTGAATGGAAGATGAAGTTAAATTCCATTTCATACAATTACTATCTTGATGACATTTGATACACAAGGCAAGTTAAATGTTTTCTTATACCTTGGATGCATGTGATCTTTAGATTGCTTTTAGGCTCCTAAAATATAATGCGTGTTCAATATTCACGTAGGAAGAACAAACAGTATCTCAAATTTCACGAATGTATTTGTAAAGGTTTATTCATTTATACAGCCGTAAAACAGGTGCATTAAATTTTTAACCTTAAACCTGTTAGTGCTACACACAACCCAAATGACTGCTCTACTTTTTCTTTCTTTTGAAATTGTAATCGATCAATTGATTTTTTTTTCCAATTGAGCAAATACACTTAAATATATAAACGAGGTTTAAAGTAAGTGCAATAAGTCTCCGCTAGGAGCACTGATATTAGAAAATGTGTTTATATTATCAGGGCAATATACTTCTGCAACTATTAGTTTGTTTGTTTGTAATTAAGCATAAAGCTACACAATGGACAATCTGTGCTCTGCCCACCACGGGTATCGAAACCCGGTTTCTAGCTTTGTAAGTCCGCAGACATTCCGCTATTAGAACTAGACTTATTTATTTTAACTATTATAAGATATGCGCAATTAAAAATGATGCATCGGAACTCTTGGAGACACCAAACATAACTCACCAAAAAACAAATATATTCAACCATGAGGTAAATAACTAACAAACTACAAATTAGCCAACTGATTTTTATGAAATGTGCGAAAGTAAATCTTGTTCAGGTATATAAATAAAGACAACAACATAAAAAATAGATATATCCCTCAACTGTAAACATAATTAGCATCACTAATTTTTAACACCTAGAGAAGAGAACTTGCTTATAAACAGGAACTGCATAATGTTTCTTACTTGCTTGTAACCTGAAGTAATAATAAAATTGCGTTTAATAACGAATGAATCAGATCAGCTACTAGAACTTTTGAAGACATTACACGGATGGCAATTTAGAAAATAAATTTGGTAGAATACGTATAACCAAGAAATTTGAAATGTTTTTGAAAATGTTTACTCACAACATTTCCAAATATATTCACCAGTCGACCTATGTCACTTAACGTCTGTTTAATACAATTATTGTAAATTTACCAGTTTTGGACGCATCTTTAAATAACAGAGTTTTAGCTCAAGTTCATTCTTACATATTATTATCATTTTTTAAAAACATTTGGTTTTCGAAAATGTTTTCATAAACTCGGTATTTAGGCTTGTCTTTAGCTAATCTGAGCAGTATGTGGCCCAATGGTAAGTATGCCGGAGTGCATATCAGAAGGTCCACGGTTCGAACCATCAATATGTCACACGCTACACGCTTTTACCCTGTTCACCTTACAAAAGTGGCGGTCAGTTCAGCTTTTCGATAAAAAGTAGTCATGTAGACGGTGGCTGTTGCCAAATGGTTGCCTTTTATCTGGTCAGTAGTTCCAAATTAGAGATGGCTATATGCCTGAACCACGAAGTCTCTGACTTAGCCATTTAATCCAGGTATCGCATAAGGAATTTCACGCTGAGTATTCTATATACTTCAACTAATTTAATTTTTTTAACTAAAAACATTTTTATTTATTAATTTCAAATTGATTAGCGGTTAAATATAAAAGATGACCACAATATATGCATAAATTCAAAAAAAAATTTTGCAAACGAAAACCTCTTGCTGAAGATGAAGCGACTAAAAACTTGACTACCCTCTCGAATTTAAGATCATATCTCACTCAACAAGGCATCACTGAATCTCGGCTAACAAATGAAAACCTGAAGGGCTTTTTGCTAAAACGCCATTTGCTAAATTGTTTGTCAAATATTAAATTGTAGGTTTTTATAGCATATAACATATAATAATATCTTCATACCTTCTACCGGTTGGCTTTCCATAGTGTTGTTAATGTTGGTTATAACAAAACTCGACTTTATACTGTTGTGATCTCAAGCAACATGAAAGCGTCTTACTCGTACGTTATACGGTAAAATGGATCGGCTACGAGCTTTTTTCCTGAACGTGGTTGTAATTCGCGTGAATTTATCTGGCAATCATAAGCAACTTTGCGATGAAAGTTTCATGTAAACACAGTGTAGATTTTCCTCTACTCTTAACAGTGCTATTTTAAGGCTAAATGAATTGTGATAGAGGACCGAATTCATGCACTCTTTCGCATCAACGCCAGAACCAGAGTACCAGCCTCGTTTCCCAAATAAGGAAAACCGAGCACGAACGTCATCATTACGACACTGTGACGTTGACTGTGGCTGTCCTCAGTCGTGATTATTGTCTCGAGTATCAAAAAGTCTTACCGGGAAGTATGGTCATTCTTAATCAAATTCGTTAAATATTAAGAAAACTTTTTGTTGTAATCCAACTTTAACCAAATTCGCCTTATAAATATATAAATAGAAATATTTTATTTATTAATATAAAACTAGTTATCAGTTTCTGTCATGTGTATTAAATATGAAAAGTGAAAAAGTATTATTATTCCATGCTTTGGATGAAAAATGTATATATAGCGCATCTTCAGTGCTCATAAAGAAATTAAATAATTTATTGAAGATTGCAAATACTTACTGACAATTCAGTAATTTTCGTTTCCAAAATACTGTGGTTTCAGATTATGTAACTATTGATAAATGCATTCATTCTCAAGCACAAATATATTTACGAAAAACACCACCACTTCTCGGACTTCACCAAATGCTATCTGGCTGTGAAACGTAGTGCGTTCATTGAAATCTGTTCGTTGGTTGATATATATATATTTAATCGTAAGAGCTGAAGGACCGAAACACATTGGATAACAGAGGTAGAGTAGCCTATCAATTGGTTTAGTTTTTTAAAACAAAAGCTTAGGTCTGTCTTATAAACAAGAGAACAGTCGCTAAATTTGTCATTTATTATCATTAGTTTTTTTTAAACTCGTATGATACCTCGAATTTTTATTACCAAAGATCAATTTCACATGAACATATTTAAGAAACGTAAACGTGAGTCAACAATTCTATCAAGAGTCAACTGTTTTGAATTCTGCTGTGTGCGCATGCATATACATATGATGCTTGTTTGTTTTTATAGTTAAGCGCAAAGGGATATCTGTACTCTGTCGACCACAGGTATCGAAACACGGTTTATAGCGTTTCAAGTCCGCAGAACATATGATAAAAAAATTATGGCAAACAGGTTCTAATGAAAGGATAACTATAGCATAATAAGTAAAACTAACTTCAGAAAATTAAGTTATGTTTTTCATTACATAAAAAGAGATGGCATGTAAAAACACAGAGATGGACAATTCAAGACGAGATGGGCAAGACAAACTTACCGAAACATGTTGGTCATCAGGCAGATATTACTAAAGAAAAGAAAACAGTGTGAAAACAGAGCAAATATAATTGAAACTGTTATTTCAATAAAACGTAAAGAAAACTACCTACACAAACACATATAAAGAAATCATATAACTTAATAGTCTGTACAAAGTAACTTGTGTTTTAGTCGACTAGTATTTTGTAAAATACAGTCACATTTCAATTATTATACATTATACATGTATACAAATTATTGATATTTTGAAATAAGTTCCTAGAGTTATTTTTCCTAAAACATAGAACAGTAAATAAAGAAGTAAAGTAAACAATTATCTCTTCTAGTTACGACCTTTGTACTTGGTTGTTGCTTGACATAAGTTGCTAAGCCTTTAAAAAATTTGCATGTGGAGGATATGAAACAAATTATTATATTTTAGGTTTTATATATACTTTTGAATAACTAAAAAAGCATAAATTACTACATAAATACCATACAATTCTACTATAATATATCAAGTTTAGTAACTAAGCTGTACTTGGGTCTTAAAAAAAATGAAATTTTGAGCAGACTAAAGACACAATCTACCTCATTTAAATCTTGGTTCAAAAGAAAGAAATGGCACTAGGTATGTTAGAAAGGCTGAGAACACCACTAGGGGGACATTCTGAGCTTCCAATTGGTTATTCATGTCATATATAGAATAAGTGTATATAAGGGAGAGTTTCCAAAAAATGGAAAGAGGTGGGTGGGGTGCCACTCTGTTTGATTTATTACATGAGCAATATCTTAGCAAATACAAAATGTAAGAGTTCTTATTTTATGTTCTAGCTTGTCAATATCGGTAATTTGAGTTTCTAATTTGTACGAAACTATAGACTTAGTATTTTGCCTTCACAAACTCTAATTTGAACCAGTGCTGCATTCAACATACCACATGACACACAAAAATCTATGTTTATCTGTGTTTTTCAATATTTACTTTTAAATTAAGAAATTGAGTAATATATAGTACTAAAATGTGAATTGTAATCTATAGTTTGATATCAAAGTTATTGACATAAATTCATGAAATAGTAGTTAAATAAAATTTTGAATGTGAGTTAACAAACGAGATGACATGGTCTTTCACCCCTGACCCATCTCAAAAGGGTTAATATACTGTTTCAAAACAATTTTACTATGTGCTGTTTGTTTATTGTTGAAATTTACCACCAACAAGTCTCAGGCACTTACTGTAAATAATCTGGCCTGTCAATGTATAAAAACCTGACAGTTAACTTCCAAGACAGTACCTTACCACTTAACACAGAATGGCAGAATTTCACGTTTAATTGGTGGAAGTGCCAGAGCAAATTTAAACCTAGATGAGCTCACTTAAAAAAAAACCCAATGGGAAAGGTCATGAAGTGTGAAACCTGATGGCAGGTGGTACACATTGAAGCCATCATACCTGAACAGACTTGGGCTGCAGGAGGAGGACACAACAGCTGCTTGAGGGGTGACATGCACTACACTGACAGTGTCACCACTGCCCTACTCTCATGGTATTGTGCTAAGCCCAATCAATGAGGAATACTCCAAGGTCCACCACCCTAGTGGCTAGGTACTCATAAATAGCAAGAGTCTCCCATATTCCACTTGAAGAGGGGGATAATTTGCATTGCAGAGACTCAAAGAAGTGCCCAGATTTCCATTGGCTGTCTGCCAGAAAGTTCTTTTACTGAAGACAGTGCAATGAGTGACTGTAAAACCTTAAACACATGCATTTTTGGTGGGAGAGAGCTAAAGGCTAGTTGTAAGTAAATCTCTTAGGCAAACACATAAAAATATAGCAATTCTGTTTGCAGAAGTGAGATATCATTTTGGAAAATGTAGTGTGGCTAAGGCAATAAGTCAAGTTGTACATTAGCTCTCCAACTACGGGTTCGGTCAAATCAAGCAAGTCTATGAGCCCAAATTGACCTTTATAGTTTCCATATAATTTCTAATACGTTTTGTGTATATTCACACAATTTTACAAGCTTTCAGTAGTAATTATTAAGAGTCATTTTCAGACAAAAAGTCATAATTTTTAATGAAGTATTTTCACTAAAGATTTCTTTATGAATATATGGAGTCAAAGTGTTGGCTGCTCTGAGTGCAAAGTGGTTTTTCACGTTAAGATAAAAATACTTTTCTTCATCTCAAATTTCATTTGTGTAATTTATAAAACCTGCTAATTAAACTTCAAACATTTTTTTGAGTAAAACTTTTTATTCTGTTATTTATATAAGTCGCCACCCTAACTCTATACGATGTTGGTCAATTTGACTGACCTCGTAACCACCAAAAAAAAATTAGAAGAAAATCTAAATGACCCTGTTTTTCTTTCTAGAATAATTTCATATCATAACATGAAACAACATTTGTTTATCGCAAATAGCTTTAAACCCATAACAGTATACATCTGTTTATACTTAAATTTTATTGTTTTATTGTCCTTTGAACATGACTAAATGATATTCCTGCTGTAAAATTTGTTAATAATTTGCCAAATGTGCAGTTCATATTACCAAATAAAATTAAATAACATGAGTTACTTGTGAATTGCTCACAAGCATACTTCGTGAAATTTTTTTTATTATTAATGTTATTTAATTTACCTATTATAACCTTTTCTTACCTAAAAAGTTTCCAATTTTTACATATTAGTTACTTTTATAATAATAAGTAAAGAATATATATGAAAAACAAGAAATGCTTTTTTTTGCTGTCAATTGTCAAGCCACTTAACCGTGGAGTTAGAGCTTGAATAAAGGCTCAGCTGGAGGTATAAATATAATTCTTACCTCCAAAAAAGTAGAGCAGTATACTAATGAAGCATTATTCTGCTTCAAAGCTGGTGAAACCAGTTCCCGTCTCACTATAACTGATATTAATTAGGGGCTTAAGACATCTTTGAATGAAAAGATTGGAAGCAAGAAAGATGTGAGCCCTGGCAGTTTATATAACAAGGTTCAGAGGTCTAATACCTTAAAAAATGTTTCTGTTTGAGAACTGTCAAACATAGAATATTGTCAGTAAAAAAAAATAGTGGTTTTATAATTTTATTGAAAAACTTAGGGTCATAGATAAATTACATAATTTCTTAACTATGTCATAAAATGTGCTAGGGACAGACCTTTTGAAGTAGAATATGTCATATCAAACAGAAATTTTTTATTTGGCCTTAGCTAAGAAAATCACAATGATAAAGGTTGAGAGAAAACCAGTTAACTAGGTAAAGTAGATGAGAGATAAAGCCAAGGATTGTTGTAACATATTTCAATCAAACACGACCCATGTTATATATGGATTGGATCAGGGGCAGTGCTTCAGTTGAGGCAGAATGAAAGTTGTTAACTTTCTTTATTAAATTGTTCCTGTTGTTAAACTACTCAAGCAATTTGTGCAAATTGGATATCAAACCTGACCATTCCATTTAATTTTTTACAACTCAAGCATTGATCAGAGGTCAGTGCCAGAGCCTTTTTTTATTTATTTATATTAATAATATTGTTACATGCATATAAAAGAAGTCTGCTGATTAAATTAAACTTTTGAGCATTTTCACAATATTGAATATAGTTGAGGCATTACAGAATGTTTAGATCAGTTGGTAAGATAGACAGTTATTTGGCATGCAACAAATTATAGTAAGTGTGCAAGGTATGCATATAAGAAATAATTTAAATGACATATTTAATATACATATATAGGAATCAAATCAATAGTGTGACTGAAAAACTGATCTTGGCATATTGGTGGATAAGTCACACAAATCATCAAAGTGCTCTGTTGCAAGTAGTAATGCTGATAGAATTTTAGTGTTCTTATAAACAAACTGATTATAA